AGCGCCCTATCTAGCTAACATAAGCCACTCTAAAGAGCTTTACAGTACATAGATATAGCGCCCTATCTAGCTAGCATAAGCCACTCTAAAGCGCTTTACAGTACATAGATAAAGCGCCCTATCTAGCTAACATAAGCCACTCTAAAGCGCTTTACAGTACATAGATATCGCGCCCTATCTAGCTAGCATAAGCCACTCTAAAGCGCTTTACAGTACATAGATATAGCGCCCTATCTAGCTAACATAAGCCACTCTACAGCGCTTTACAGTACATAGATAATGTATGAAACTCCTCATGCCACGGAGGATGTAAAAGTCTTAGCACTGCCCGTGACACCCATTCATATTTTTCTTCTGGTAGACCATGTATTACAATTAATACAATTAGGATATACAATTTTTGAGGATTTCGCAGGAGCTCAGGCGCTCACTACTATGTAATATAAATGTATAACAACAATAGTATCTTTACCGTTTAACCGAGAAATCTTTGCACAGTCAAACTTCCGCCCTTTGTCAGAATAATCCATATTCACCCAGTGTTAGCTTCGCCCTTCACATCCGATTACTATACATATTATGGTGTATATACTAATGTTCGCTGTAATGATACATTTGCGCTCATTATATAATTAATCTGCAGTTTCCCAGTATATAGTATTTATACATTTTTTGTCTTCGTTCAGTTACTAATTTTATAGTCTTGAGTTTTCTTTTAGATGTTATTGACAATGTTATTTTATCTTTAAAAACAATTCATGAATATCTAGTTATGATTGAAGTTCATGCTATCTTATTTCCACAGAAGAGGAAGATAATGACGACTACGACGATGATGTATTTGACGAGAAGGAACCAGCTCCTGTTGAAGTTGTGCCAAAAAAGGAACCAAAGTCACCAACCAAACGTAGAACACAATCACTGAGTGCTATCAAAGATGACAAAGAGCCGAAGAGCCCTCGCAAGGTAACCTGTCATCACAGCTCATTGTTACTAGTAACCTGTCATCACAGCTCATTGTCATCACAGCTCATTGTCATCACAGCTCATTGTCATCACAGCTCATTGTCATCACAGCTCATTGCCATCACAGCTCTTTGTCATCACAGCTCTTTGTCATCACAGCTCATTGTCATCACAGCTCATTGTTACTAGTTACCTGTAATATCACAGCTCATTGTCATCACAGCTCATTGTTACTAGTAACCTGTCATCACAGCTCATTGTCATCACAGCTCATTGTCATCACAGCTCATTGCATCACAGCTCTTTGTCATCACAGCTCATTGTCATCACAGCTCATTGTTACTAGTTACCTGTCAAAGAGTCCACGCAAGGTAACCTGTCATCACAGCTCATTGTTACTAGTAACCCGTCATCACAGCTCATTGTTACTAGTAACCTGTAAACTGTCATTATCAGCTCATTGTTTACTAGTAACCTGTAAACTGTCATTATCAGCTCATTGTTTACCTGTAAACTGTCATCACAGCTCATTGTTTACAAGTAACCTGTAAACTGTCATTATCAGCTCATTGTTTTACTAGTAACCCGTAAACTGTCATTATCAGCTCATTGTTTACTAGTAACCTGAAAACTGTCATTATCAGCTCATTGTTTACTAGTAACCTGTAAACTGTCATTATCAGCTCATTGTTTACTAGTAACATGTAAACTGTCATTATCAGCTCATTGTTTACTAGTAACCTGTAAACTGTCATTATCAGCTCATCGTTTAGAACAGTTAGAACTGCAATCCACGACCAATGAAGCTGATTATTTCAGTATTTTTGGTTACCTAAATGCCTGGACTTACTAGATTCTACTGTATAATGTAACCTGTGACCTATACTCTTTGATGTTTTCAGGCCAAGGACAAAGATCATGTAAGGCGTCCCATGAACGCATTCATGATCTTCAGTAAACGTCATCGTCACATGGTTCACCAAAGACATCCTAACCAGGACAACCGAACCGTCAGTAAAATTCTGGGCGAGTGGTGGTATGCCTTGGGACCTAAGGAGAAACAGAAGTACCACGACCTGGCATACCAGGTAAGTACAAAAAAAAGTACCACGACCTGGCATACCAGGTAAGTACAGAGGTACCACGACCTGGCATACCAGGTAAGTACAGAGGTACCACGGCCTGGCATACCAGGTAAGTACAGAAGTACCATGACCTGGCATAACAGGTAAGTACAGAAGTACCACGCCCTGGCATACCAGGTAAGTACAAAAAAAAGTCCCACGACCTGGCATACCAGGTAAGTACAAAAAAAAGAACCACGACCTGGCATACCAGGTAAGTACAGAAGTACCATGACCTGGCATAACAGGTAAGTACAGAAGGACCACGACCTGGCATACCAGGTAAGTACAAAAAAAAGTCCCACGACCTGGCATACCAGGTAAGTACAAAAGTAGCACGACCTGGCATACCAGGTAAGTACAGAGGTACCACGGCCTGGCATACCAGGTAAGTACAGAAGTACCACGCCCTGGCATACCAGGTACGTACAGAAGTACCACGACCTGGCATACCAGGTAAGTACAGAGGTACCATGACCTGGCATACCAGGTAGGGTGCAAATGTGTGGAGTGCTTGGAAGTGTCGGGAATCCTGTGTTGTCATAACAGAATTTGGAGGCATAACTTTGGCAGGAGAAAAAGAATGAATGAAAATGATTTTTAGCTGAAAGTAGATTGTCTAAGTTATATCCTGTATAGAGTAATCTTAAGAGTCTGTTTAGACAGTTGACAGGTTTAGAAGTGTTACACAAGTTGACAGGTTTAGAAGTGTTACACAAGTTGACAGTTCCAGTACTAGTGTCCCTACCAGAACACTGGGCTCCTCCCTGTAGTAGCCAACCCATCTGATTGGCCAGATCTAGTTAACTACTCAAAATGAAGAAGATGAAAAAACAACTGTGGATTTCTAAATAATATTTAAGTCTATATATAGGGAAACAAAGTCACTGTGTGAGTGCGATTTAGTAAGTTATCTTGTTTTTGCAGAATGTTTGTTAGATAATCTCCTGATATTTATGAATTGCACTGGTCTGTGTGTCCAGGTGAAGGAAGCTCACTTCAAGGCCTACCCTGACTGGAAGTGGTGTTCTAAAGAGAGGAAGAAATCCAGTACCATTGCCAGCCAGCTCAAACAAAGAAGTAGTACTGGGCGCAGACTCAGCTCCACCGACGACATGGAGGATATAGGTTGGTTTCATTTTCTCTATGTTTTATACAAAAACTAATAGAATCTTCCATGACAGGCCTGCATGAATAAAATGATGTTAATTGCTTGCGTAGGGAGAAACCATGAACATAAAATCAGACATTTAAAGCACAACGTTAACAGTGTTTTTATTTTATATCCAACAACTATAAAAGATCAGTTAAAACTCTTATGAATTTATAATAAATCATTTAACACATTCAACACAACAGCAATATTTCCAACAGTGACTCATAGGCTGTCTGTGGGAAAGACTGATATAATCTATTACCTGTAACTGAGCGAGTCAACTCATAGGCTGTCTGTGAGAAAGACTGAATCTATTACCTGTTACTCAGCGAGTCAACTCATAGGCTGTCTGTGGGAAAGACTGATATAATCTATTACCTGTAACTGAGTGAGTCAACTCATAGGCTGTCTGTGGGAAAGACTGATATAATCTATTACCTGTAACTGAGTGAGTCAACTCATAGGCTGTCTGTGGGAAAGACTGATATAATCTATTACCTGCAACTGAGCGAGTCAACTCATAGGCTGTCTGTGGGAAAGACTGATATAATCTATTACCTGCAACTGAGCGAGTCAACTCATAGGCTGTCTGTGGGAAAGACTAAATCTATTACCTGTAACTGAGTGAGTCAACTCATAGGCTGTCTGTGGGAAAGACTGATATAATCTATTACCTGTACCTGAGCGAGTCAACTCATAGGCTGTCTGTGAGAAAGACTGAATCTATTACCTGTTTCGCAGCGAGTCAACTCATAGGCTGTCTGTGGGAAAGACTGAATCTTTTACCTGTAACTGAGCGAGTCAACTCATAGGTTATCTGTGGGAAGGACTAAATCTATATCCTGTAACTGAGCGAGTCAACTCGTAGGCTGTCTGTGGGAAGGACTAAATCTATTACCTGTAACTGAGCGAGTCAACTCATAGGCTGTCTGTGAGAAAGACTGAATCTATTACCTGTTTCGCAGCGAGTCAACTCATAGGCTGTCTGTGGGAAAGACTGATATAATCTATTACCTGTAACTGAGTGAGTCAACTCATAGGCTGTCTGTGGGAAAGACTGATATAATCTATTACCTGTAACTGAGTGAGTCAACTCATAGGCTGTCTGTGGGAAAGACTAAATCTATTACCTGTAACTGAGTGAGTCAACTCATAGGCTGTCTGTGGGAAAGACTGATATAATCTATTACCTGTACCTGAGCGAGTCAACTCATAGGCTGTCTGTGAGAAATACTGAATCTATTGCCTGTTACTCAGCGAGTCAACTCATAGGCTGTCCGTGGGAAAGACTGAATCTATTACCTGTAACTGAGTGAGTCAACTCATAGGCTGTCTGTGGGAAAGACTGAATCTTTTACCTGTAACTGAGCGAGTCAACTCATAGGCTGCCTGTGGGAAGGACTAAATCTATAACCTGTAACTGAGCGAGTCAACTCATAGGCTGTCTGTGAGAAAGACTGAATCTATTACCTGTTTCGCAGCGAGTCAACTCATAGGCTGTCTGTGGGAAATACTTAATCTATTACCTGTAACTGAGCGAGTCAACTCATAGGCTGTCTGTGGGAAAGACTAAATCTATTACCTGTAACTGAGTGAGTCAACTCATAGGTTATCTGTGGGAAAGACTGAATCTATTACCTGTAACTGAGCGAGTCAACTCATAGGCCGTCTGTGGGAAATACTGAATCTATTATGTGTAACTGAGCGAGATCGGGTTATCTTAGTTGAGGGCTGAGATTCTGTATTATAATCCCAACGAGGCGTAATTCGGGGGTGGGATGTTACAGAATCTTAGCCCGAGAAAATTAAAGTACTTTATTAGCTGCAGAAGGTTTATTTTAATTAATATCGAGAAATTTGATAATCTGGATATTTTTTCAGGGAGTCAATTTTCCAGATTAAGTCTGACTTTATGAAAACAATGACTGACTTTATGCTTGATATTTCAATTCCAGACAAACCACTGTTAGAAGACCTGGAGGAGGAAATCAAGGTTCCAGATGACCTAGATGTTTTCAAGCTTCAGGATGATGTCATGGATCAAACTGAACAGGAACAGAGGGAGCGGTCATTATTCGAGATTCGTCGAGTGAGATCCCAGAGCCTCTCTGCTGTCCCGAGGGAAGGCGGTTCAGCATTTTTCCCTCCAAAGAGAGAAGAAGACAAACAAAGATTTACTGAGGTGATAAAACCAGACAGAGATTAGTTGGTGTCTCAATAACCTTGCTCCTATTTATCAATTTAAGGAAATAAGATATATGAGCATTTTTGGAAAACTTTCATTACCCTTGCTTTGATATTATGGCTATGTATTTTATCAGGCTCTGACTCTGTAAAATGTCACCCAGTATAACCAAGGTTGGTCTGAAAACTGAACAAAAAAGGATCAATCTCAATTGTAAAATATTTTTATGAAAATGTAAATAATTTTTTGCCACTTCTCGCTCCTGAAAAAGAGGTCAGAATGGTTCATACCACATAAATACCTATGTTAGAAGTTTGCATATGATGGAGAGACCATTTTGACAAGTGTCTGATTTTATGTCCTGAAATAGGATCTGAAACGACAGCTGTTACCAAACCAACAAAGCTACGCCTCCACATCCAGTGTTTCTATGGCAACTGGAAATCAGCAGCAGCAGGCCAGCCACTCACAGCATCCTCAGTTCTGTGCCATGGTTTCTAGAGAAACAGATGGTGATGATGGGTACAGTGATGATGAGAGAATGGTTATAGACGAAGAAGAAAAGAAAGATGGTATGACGGAGAAATTATGTTTTTATCAATTTCATATTTTCTTCATTTCATTACAAAGCACTACGAAGTCATAAGAAGATTGTATTTAATTGTAATTATTAACAATATCATAAAATGGAGAAAAACATGTGTGCGTGTCTGGAAAATCAGCTTGTTGTTTCAAGACAGTCAGAGGCACGGTAGTCTAGTGGTAGGATGCCAGGCTTGTGACCAAAGTGTTGTGAGGCACGGTAGTCTAGTGGTAGGATGCCGGGCTCGTGACTGAAGTATTGTGAGGCGTGGCAGTCTAGTGGTAGGATGTCGGGCTCGTGACCGAAGGGTTGTGAGGCACGGTAGTCTAGTGGTAGGATGCCGGGCTCGTGAAGGAAGTGTTGCGGGTTTGACTCGTGGTACGTTACTGTGTTGTATCTTTGAGCAAGATACTTTACTCCGCTTGTTCCAGTCTACTCAGCTGTAAATGAGTATGTGGTTGGGCAGTGCTAGAATTGTTGATTGCTAGCTGTGAGTGCCGAAATGGCAGCACCGGCTGTATGCTCCCCAGGGATATTGACTGGTTTCAAAGGCCCTATAACCACGAATAATAATTTGTGAACCGCTTTGAGACGACCTATGAACTAGGTTGTGATAAAACGGTATATAAGAACCACAAATTATTCCTTGACACGCCTGACATTATAAACTGCAAAAAAAGAGATATTGTTCTGTTGAAAATGTTTGTGTAGAAGTTAAGAAGATGTTGTAGACAATGTTATAAAACATCTTGTTTCTCTAATTCAGGAGCAGAGGATTTGGGAGACACCAGCGAAACAGACACAAAAAAACTGGAGTGCAACGAAAACGTTTATGACAGTGAGACAGACAGTCAGACAGAGGAAGACACACTCATCGAAAACAAAGCATTTCCTCAACAACGATTCTCACCTGTCATGAAACATATCAGTCCGTCAGAGATTCCGTACCGTCCGACACCCATCAGAAAGCTTCCAGAATCTTCTGGACATTCCACAGCATCCACAACTGGAACTTCTGAAGGTGATAGTCCCCGACCTTCAAGTGCAGGAGGCTTCCGACCAAAAGGGAACGTGTTCAGTGCCAATAAACCATCACGATTAATGTCCACAGGAAGTTCTATCAGAAGTGAGTCTCCTTTGGCACAACATTTTACATTTAATCGACACGATTCCCGGACACCAGTTACCCAGCAGCACACTGTAAAGGTTGGTCAAATGAAGCTCCATAATATAACCATGACAACACAAGAAAATCAACAGATTCTTGTATCCTCAAACACTGAGACAATTCTTGGAAAGCAAAATGGACGGGGCTCTGTAATGAACAAAGTAACACAAAAACCCCAGAGAGGGGGTCAAAAACAGCAGCCGATACAGCAGCAACAGATACAGCAGCAACAGTTACAGCAGCAGCAGCATTTACAGCAGCAGCAACAGATACAGCAGCAGCAGCATTTACAGCAGCAGCAGCAGTTACAGCAGATCCAGATACAGCCAAGTGTTTCCCCACACGGTGGGATACAGCTGGGAAAGCCGGTCACCTCTAGCACAGTCCAGTTGGTGCCATTTACACAGACTGTTGCCACAAGTGCTAACTACGGGTCTAACATGGTTCTTCCCACATACTCTACAATGGGTAAACCAATCACCACGCCCGTCCCTATAGCCTCCAAGCCTTTCGTGTCGATGCAGCAAGCACAGATTGCCACTCCGACATTGTTGAAGCAGGCAGTCACTGGGAATGGTCTGCATCAACAGCAGCAGGCTTTATTGCAAGCATCCCCAAATGGAAACGTGAAAAATGTTGGTACTATTTTAGTGCAAAATCTTCCTTCAAGTCAGTATGGCATGTTACTGAACACAACATCTATCGCATCGTCAGTGAACAGCAAGACAACAGCTGTGCCAGCCATGCCATCAAACATGTCGAATGCCTTCATCACAACGATTAGAAATGTTGTCCCTTCTCAGGGCCAGACAGCGCAAGGACTTGTATCACAAGCTAACACCCAGAACCAGCCTCTCACACAGGCCACACTACTAAACACCCTTGTACTAAAGCCTAATCAGGTGGCACATCCTCAGCAGGCTCAGTCTCCACAGCAACAGTCAGTGCAGCAAACCATTAACCTATCACAGGCAGGCTTACAACCCACACATGTGCAGTACATACTTCCTTCTGTACGGGTGGCAACACCCAATGGAGGTAAAGTACAGAATGTTGTCCAGATGGCACTACCAGCAACCCCAGTACAACAAAATAACATTCAACTGACTTTTGCAGGACAACACTCCCAACTCCATTCGCCTTTGCCCCCGCAGCAAATTTCCCAGCATTCCCAGCAGCATCCGCCATTACAGCCGTCAGTCCAGACAGGAAAAGTCCAGTTAGCTTCAGTTGCAGGAAATGGCTTAAAAGTTGCAGCGATGACAAGTCAAGGCAAAATGTTACAGCATCAACAAGGTGGACTCCTTAGTACACATGCCAACCTGGCCTCCCCCATCGTTTTGAACCAGACCAAGCAGAATCAGGCTGTTCCCATGGTGACACAATTTCTAGCAATGAGTCAGAACCAACAGGTTCAGTTACCTAGTGTGTCACAGGGGCAGAGTTACATGTCGTTACAACAGGGTGGGCCACACACCCCTACCCAGCTACAACTCCATCCCCAGGCCCACACACAGCTGATACAGCAACATGGGGGACAACTCCAGGTCCATGGGACACAACTCCAGGTACAGCAGGTCCAACAGGGAGGACAACTCCAGGTTCAGCAGCTGCAGACAGCAACTCAGCAACAACAAGCTAAATTATTGCTACCATCCTCACAGAAGTAAGTAGATCTGAGATGGCAATATAGGCTATCTGTATCTGTCCCTGTTATATTTTTGCTGCTGTCAATATTGTTTAGATTTAAATATTTACTGAAGAACCTTTGTTAATGTTTAGTCAGTCTCTGTAGCATAATTAGTGCTATTTGTCCTTAGCTGCATTATTTATGTGATATTTCCTAATATTTGTGCAAGGGTCTTTCTGGAATTTATATTTTAAAGTGTGTCTTATCGTTTTCTTCAATTTCAAGGAATATTATGCCTTAATTTATTACATATTTCTAAACACTTAACTAAATGTACTGATTAAATTGTAAATGTGAATATTTTGGTTTGTGTTTACAGCACTAGGATGTATGTGCAGCCTAATTCTATCAACACAGTTGCCATGGCAGCGTCCCCACTCCCTAAAATTGACGGGGTTCAAGGAGTTAACTCCCCTTCATTTATCAACTACGTACAACAAAGTATGCTACATATAAATGCTATATATTTCTGACAATATGCGCATGAGGAAATAGTCTTTATTTCTGAAATCTTTGTTTAAAGTGATGATTTATAACCCTGAAGTTTTAAGTATGCTTAGACTGATTGATTTGGATCTGTAGTAAACAATCGCTAAAGAGAAAATAAGAACTAGCAGCTTGTGATGTGATCACTGATGATTTAATGCTTATCTTTGTCAGTATGTAGAGTATGTCAGTATTTATACATTATACTAGCAATACAACTTAAAACCGTAGCTCCTCCGGTACTGGTGTGCGGCTCCTCCGGTACTGGTGTGAATATACACGTAGGCATGTTCTTAACATTCACACTTGTTTTTGCTTAAAGAGAAACTCAAGTGTGCTGTACTTTAAACAGAAATTTCAGATTAAAACATCTTCAGTAGTATAATCTGCAAAACTTCTGTTGAAGGTTTTGGTTTACAGCAAAAGTTTGTATCAACAAGTTTTATAAATAGACAACCACAAAAAGAAAGCAGTGACAAGTATATCACATTACAGAGTTGGAACACCTACTTACGAGGTGTATACTTATGTACAGATCTACTTACGAAGTGTACATTTGTGTACAGATCTACTTATGAGGTGTATATTTGTGTACAGAAGTAGTACTTACAAGGTGTATATTTGTGTACAGATGTACTTACGAAGTGTATATTTGTGTACAGATCTACTTATGAAGTGTATATTTGTTTACAGATGTACTTACGAAGTGTATATTTGTGTACAGATCTACTTACGAGGTGTATATTTGTGTACAGATGTACTGATCTACTTACAAGGTGTATATTTGTGTACAGATCTACTTACGAAGTATATATTTGTGAACAGATGTACTGATCTACTTACGAAGTGTATATTTGTGTACAGATGTACTTAAGAGGTGTATATTTGTGTACAGATGTACTGATCTACTTACAAAGTGTATATTTGTGTACGGATGTACTTACGAAGTATATATTTGTGTACAGATGTACTGATCTACTTACGAAGTGTATATTTGTGTACAGATGTACTTACGAAGTGTATATTTGTTTACAGATGTACTTACGAGATGTATATTTATGTACAGATGTATTTACGAAGTGTATATTTATGTACAGATGTACTTACAAAGTGTATATTTATGTACAGATGTACTTACAAAGTGTATATTTGTTTACAGATGTACTTATGAAGTGTATATTTATGTACAGATGTACTTATGAAGTGTATATTTATGTACAGACCCCCAGGGAGCAGTACAGCAGGTGATGATACAACAGCAGCACAATCCGACACGTTCACCTGCCCCTAGCCCAGGGGCACCCCAGATACAAGCCTCCCCTGCCCCCCAGGGGCAAGTGACCTATGCCTCACAGGCACCCCTTGCTCCCAAAACTGTGATGACCAACACTAAGGCACAGAGTCCTCCACAGCTACAAGCCACTACAGCATATCAGGGCACAGGACAAGGTTTGTATACTAAAACTGTTACTAAGTGGTACAGGATACCAGGGCACAGGGCAAGGTACGTATACTGAAACTGTTACTAAGTGGTACAGCATACCAGGGCACAGGACAAGGTACGTATACTTAAACTGTTACTAAGTGGTACAGCATACCAGGGCACAGGACAAGGTAAAATTTAATAACTTCGCGGGGTCTCAGCTTTACGGCGTATTATGTTTTGTCTTCTGACAAGATCAATGACTTCTTTGAAATTAACAAAACATTTTATCACACCTTCATTGTTTTATTACATATTCTTAATCAATGTACATGTTTTTCTTTTCCTAGGTGCATACTGAAAGCATGAACCATGTTGATTTAGTTTTGCACATAACAAAGCACATATTGTATCATTTCCTAATTCAGATCTCCCTTCTGTCTGGATCTTCTTCAACATGGAAAATGTTCTCTCAGAGTCAGCATTACTCACTGAAAGTACCAAACATGCCTTCATTAGCCTACACACCACACCAAACCTAAGATCATTCTCAAAGGGTTCTTTAACTGCATGCCTTTTGATATCGTACGTAGCACCCGAAGCTACCGAAAAATGATTGGTACACAGTTTACAATAGGCATGATCGGGTCCAATATTATTCTTCTGAAGCCAGTCATAATCTGATTCCCACGAAGCATTGTAATTACAGGCATACTTTTTCTCTTTTTTGACGATGAACGTTAAAATTACGAACGTTTTCTCGGGTTAGAAGCCATTTGTGAAAGTGAAATGACAAGCACTACGATCGGGATTATATCCATTGTAGTAACAGTGAACAGTACTCACCTTTTGAATTTGCCAGGCTGGTTCCGAAACAGGGACGCCATTGTGAAACCAAATCACTTAGTATACGGACTTTACCTATAACTGAAAGCTAAACTTCCGAGAGACACGAACGGAACATTTCCGGAAGTACGGAGATCCTAATAAAAGACGCAGATGCGGGTGATTGCAGGTCATATTTACGGAGTGCGGGAGATATGTATGACCCGCTGGTCATAAGATCGTCGCGGGTGATAGGTTCATTTTGCGGGTGTGACCCGCAGAATGCGGGTCATTTAGCAAGTATGGGTACGTATACTTAAACTGTTACTAAGTGGTACAGCATACCAGGGCACAGGGCAAGGTACGTATACTTAAACTGTTACTAAGTGGTACAGTATACCAGGGCACAGGGCACAGGGCAAGGTACGTATACTTAAACTGTTACTTAGTGGAAAACTCATTTGAATGGATATCTTGATTGGGCATTTTTAAACTGACTTTGAAGCATAAAAGTGTATATTTGGGCAGAAAAGGTGACTAGAGTGAAAATCTTCTTTGTGAAGGTTATTTTTTCTTTCAGTAGAATTTCTCAGTGATAGAAAAAATTCCATCCTGACATTGATGTGTGTATTTAGATGTAAAATGTGAAAACATTCAATTGAAGCAAGACTGTTCTATTTTAATCCAGTACATATCTCTACACTGTTTAGACATTTAGACTGTTCTATCCTAATCCAGTATATATCTCTACACTGTTTAGACAGTTAGACTGTTCTATCCTAATCCAGTATAATCTCTACACTGTTTAGACAGTTAGACTGTTCTATCCTAATCCAGTACATATCTCTACACTGTTTAGACATTTAGACTGTTCTATCTTAATCCAGTATATATCTCTACACTGTTTAGACAGTTAGACTGTTCTATCCTAATCCAGTATATATCTCTACACTGTTTAGACATTTAGACTGTTCTATCCTAATCCAGTATATATCTCTACACTGTTTAGACATTTAGACTGTTCTATCCTAATCCAGTATATATCTCTACACTGTTTAGACATTTAGACTGTTCTATCCTAATCCAGTATATATCTCTACACTGTTTAGACATTTAGACTGTTCTATCCTAATCCAGTATATATCTCTACACTGTTTAGACATTTAGACTGTTCTATCCTAATCCAGTATATATCTCTACACTGTTTAGACATTTAGACTGTTCTATCCTAATCCAGTATATATCTCTACACTGTTTAGACATTTAGACTGTTCTATCCTAATCCAGTATATATCTCTACACTGTTTAGACATTTAGACTGTTCTATCCTAATCCAGTATATATCTCTACACTGTTTAGACATTTAGACTGTTCTATCCTAATCCAGTATATATCTCTACACTGTTTAGACATTTAGACTGTTCTATCCTAATCCAGTATATATCTCTACACTGTTTAGACATCTAGACTGTTCTATCCTAATCCAGTTTATATCTCTACACTGTTTAGACAGTTAGACTGTTCTATCTTAATCCAGTACATATCTCTACACTGTTTAGACAGTTAGACTGTTCTATCTTAATCCAGTATATATCTCTACACTGTTTAGACATTTAGACTGTTCTATCCTAATCCAGTACATATCTCTACACTGTTAAGACAGTTAGACTGTTCTATCTTAATCCAGTATATATCTCTACACTGTTTAGACCGTTAGACTGTTCTATCTGAATCCAGTATATATCTCTACACTGTTTAGACATTTAGACTGTTCTATCTGAATCCGGTATATATCTCTACACTGTTTAGACATGTATTGCTCACATTCAAGGTGTTATCATCTTCCGGCACAGCACTATATATATCCCAATGGTCCTATTCATGTAGTCTGTCAGTCGTCGTTGTCGTCACTCTCTCGTTTACCTAGTCATACAAAGGTACGCACGCCAATCCCAATAGCCAGCTGTCAGATAATAGATATATACTGACGTCACACTACTGATCTCTGTACTGGACATAACATTACACAACATTACCAATAAATTTTGATAAAATTTAATCCTGCCACATCTCCCTTTTACAGGAATGTACAAGCAACAGGCTCCAGCTTCTAGTTCCCCCATCACCTCGGGAGTCGACATTGGCTACATCACTGGGGCCAGCCTACAGTCCAAGTCATACCGGGTCAAAGCCACCATTGCTAATATCCCTGTGGCTACGGAGAGTCTCCAGGTCACTGCAGCACTGCAAGGTTAGAAAGTCCGCCATAGCTACTCTTACTGTGTTAACACCGTCAGCAAATTCACCTCAGCAATGGAAGGTTAAACTAGTAGGTCAAGATCTGGTCTGCTAATATCCCCATGGTAAAGGAGGATATAGGTCACTGCAGCATTGTGGCAGGAAACCGGGTCAAGGCTAACAAAGCATAGAAATACTTACCAGTCAAAATGATATTGGACAAAGTCAGCTGTTTCCTTGCATCCTACTAAATTATCTAACAGTTATAATTAACATGACAAACAAATGTCAATACCCAACTATTTTCAGGCACAGAAAACTAAAATATCTTGTGGTATAATTTTCTTTTATCAAAACTAGGTCAAAGACCATTGACCTCTCCTGTTCAGAGCCCCCATCCAGTAGGGGGTATGTACCGTAATCACCACAGCAGCCCCCCTCAGGCAATGAACAACGAACATAGACCAAAGAAGCCCTCCCCGTTGGTTCTGTCTTATGAGCCAATCAGAAGGTCCACTAGCCCAAGTAGCCCAGGGTCAGAGGACAAGGGGCAGGAGGAGGAGGAGGAGGAGGAGGAGGAGCTGGAGGAACAAGAGACTGAAGATGGGTCCAAAGGTCAAAAGTCACAGAAACAGCGAGAACTTTCAGGCGACAGACAAAGAGAAAAGAAAGAAACACTGAAGGTGACTGAGTTTTAGATTTTTATGTTCACTTATTAAACTACAATGAAATGTCTGGACACTTCAATTTTTCAAACGGAAATATAGCAATTTTGTCGATAGATACTGCAAATTAAAGATGTCTGCTGTTATGTGTAGAACAATTGACAAATTCTGGCAGTGGGGGCCACAAAACAACTACTATAAATACAGAGATTTTTTTAAAGAATGGGGATACTCCCCAAAGGTATCTCCCCATCTGCCTTTACTTTTGTATTACTCCATATACAAAATTTAACAAATATAACACTGAATTTGACCCAATCAACTGATAATGACACTAAGGGCTGCCCTGATATATACAATATCTATAGGATTAAACTGTTTAGATATGGAATTAGACGGCTGACACAAGTTGCTACCCTGGATGAGTGAAGTATTTATCAAAATGTCTTATTTCACTTGTGTGATCATGCTTTAATCTAGTGACAAGACATCACATTTTTTATCCTGTAACTACAGATAAATGTTGTGTTTAGTGCTCATGTTAGTTTGTAACAGTTTAGTAAACCGTTGTTTTTATCCACACAGCTGACCACGGACAAATCCCCTTCATCCATTGAGCAAGCCAGTACTGATGATTCCATGCCTGCACCCCAAACACCGGCAGCAGACAGTGCGGTCAACAGTCCTCGTGTACCGGTATGTAGTCCTCGTGTACCAGTATGTGGTTCTCGGGTACCGGTTTGTAGTCCCCGTGTACCGGTATGTGGTCCTCGTGTACCGGTTTGTAGTCCCCGTGTACCGGTATGTGGTCCTCGTGTACCAGTAGTCCTCGTGTACCAGTATGTGGTCCTTGTGTACCAGTATGTGGTCCTCGTGTACCGATATGTAATCCTCGTGTACCTGTTTGTGGTCCTCGTGTACCAGTATGTGGTACTCGTGTACCGGTATGTGGTCCTAGTGTACCAGTGTGTGGCCCTCGTGTACCTGTTTGTGGTCCTCGTGTACCGGTATGTGATTCTCGTGTGCCGATATGTAGTCCTCGTGTACCGGCATGTGGTTCTCGTGTACCGGTTTGTAGTCCTCGTGTAACGGTATGTTGTTCTCGTGTACCGGTATGTGGTTCTTGTGTACCGGTATGTAGTCCCCGTGTACCGATATGTGGTCCTCGTGTACCGGCATGTGGTCCTCGTGTACCGGTGTGTGGTCCTCGTGTACCGGTGTGTGGTCCTCGTGTACCGGTGTGTGGTCCTCGTGTACCTGTATGTGTTCCTCGTGTACGGGTATGTGGTCCTAGTGTACCAGTGCGTGGTCCTCGTGTACCTGTTTGTGTCTGTGTACCCCTGTGCCGGTATGTGGTCCTCGTGTCCCGGTTTGTAGTCCCCGTGTACCGGTATGTGGGTCTCGTGTACCGGTATGTAGTCCTTGTTAACCGGTATGTGGTCCTCTTGTACCGGTATGTGGTCCTCGTGTACCGGTATGTGGTCCTAGTGTACCAGTGTGTGGTCCTCGTGTACCTGTTTGTAGTCCTCCTGTGCCGGTATGTGGTCCTCATGTACCGGTATGTGGTCCTTGTGTACTGATATGTAGTCCTCCTGTGCCAGTGTGTGGTCCTCGTGTTCCGGTTTGTAGTCCTCGTGTACCGGTTTGTAGTCCTCGTGTACCGGTATGTGGTCCTCGTGTACCGGTATGTAGTCCTCCTGTGCCGGTATGTGGTCCTCATGTACCGGTATGTGGTCCTCGTGTACCGATATGTAATCCTCGTGTACCTGTTTGTGGTCCTCGTGTACCGGTATGTGGTCCTTGTGTACCGGTATGTGGTCCTCGTGTACCGGTATGTAGTCCTTGTTAACCGGTATGCGGTCCTCTTGTACCAGTATGTAGTCCTCGTGTACGGATATGTGGTTCTCGTGTACCGGTATGTAGTCCTTGTTAACCGGTATGCGGTCCTCTTGTACCAGTATGTAGTCCTCGTGTACGGATATGTGGTTCTCGTGTACCGGTATGTAGTCCTTGTGTACCGGTATGTGGTTCTCGTGTACCGGTATGTGGTTCTCGTGTACCGATATGTGCTTCTCGTGTACCGGTATGTAGTCCTTGTTAACCGGGATGTGGTCCTCTTGTACCAGTATGTAGTCCTCGTGTACGGATATGTGGTTCTCGTGTACCGGTATGTAGTCCTTGTGTACCGGTATGTGGTTCTCGCGTACCGATATGTGGTTCTCGTGTACCGGTATGTAGTCCTTGTGTACCGGTATGTGGTTCTCGTGTACCGTTATGTGGTTCTCGTGTACCGGTATGTAGTCCTTGTGTACCGGTATGTGGTTCTCGTGTACCGATATGTGCTTCTCGTGTACCGGTATGTAGTCCTTGTTAACCGGTATGCGGTCCTCTTGTACCAGTATGTAGTCCTCGTGTACGGATATGTGGTTCTCGTGTACCGGTATGTAGTCCTTGTGTACCGGTATGTGGTTCTCGTGTACCGTTATGTGGTTCTCGTGTACCGGTATGTAGTCCTTGTGTACCGGTATGTGGTTCTCGCGTACCGATATGTGGTTCTCGTGTACCGGTATGTAGTCCTTGTTAACCGGTATGTGGTCCTCTTGTACCAGTATGTAGTCCTCGTGTACCGATATGTGGTTCTCGTGTACCGGTATGTAGTCCTTTTGTACTGGTATGTGGTCCTTGTGTACTGATATGTAGTCCTCCTGTGCCAGTGTGTGGTCCTCGTGTACCGGTTTGTAGTCCTCGTGTACCGGTATGTGGTCCTCGTGTACCGGTATGTGGTCCTCGTGTACCGGTATGTGGTCCTCGTGTACCGGTATGTGGTCCTCGTGTACCGGTATGTGGTCCTCGTGTACCGGTATGTGGTCCTAGTGTACCAGTGTGTGGTCCTCGTGTACCTGTTTGTAGTCCTCCTGTGCCGGTATGTGGTCCTCATGTACCGGTATGTGGTCCTCGTGTACCGATATGTAGTCCTCGTGTACCTGTTTGTGGTCCTCGTGTACCGGTTTGTGGTCCTCGTGTACCGGTATGTGGTCCTCGTGTACCGGTATGTGGTCCTCGTGTACCGGTATGTGGTCCTCGTGTACCGGTATGTGGTCCTCGTGTACCGGTATGTGGTCCTCGTGTACCGGTATGTGGTCCTCGTGTACCGGTATGTGGTCCTCGTGTACCGGTATGTGGTCCTCGTGTACCGGTATGTGGTCCTCGTGTACCGGTATGTGGTCCTCGTGTACCGGTATGTGGTCCTCGTGTACCGGTATGTGGTCCTCGTGTACCGGTATGTGGTCCTCGTGTACCGGTATGTGGTCCTCGTGTACCGGTATGTGGTCCTCGTGTACCTGTATGTGGTCCTCGTGTACCGGTATGTGGTCCTCGTGTACCAGTATGTGGTCCTCGTGTACCGGTATGTGGTCCTCGTGTACCGGTATGTGGTCCTCGTGTACCGGTATGTGGTCCTCGTGTACCGGTATGTGGTCCTCGTGTACCGGTATGTGGTCCTCGTGTACCGGTATGTGGTCCTCGTGTACCGGTATGTGGTCCTCGTGTACCAGTGTGTGGTCCTCGTGTACCTGTTTGTAGTCCTCCTGTGCCGGTATGTGGTCCTCATGTACCGGTATGTGGTCCTCGTGTACCTGTTTGTGGTCCTCGTGTACCAGTATGTGGTCCTCGTGTACCAGTATGTGGTCCTCATGTACCGGTATGTAGTCCTTTTGTACCGGTATGTGTGGCCCTTTTGTACTGGTATGTGGTGTTCTACGTCTAGGTGAAATAAGATCATAAGCTAGAGTGAGAAAGTTGAAGAAATGGGACTAGGGAGGGAATGATTGGGACTCAGGAGGGAATGATTGGGACTAGGGAGGGAATGATTGGGACTCAGGAGGGAATGATTGGAACAAGTGAAGGTAATGGTGGACATGTTAGGGAATGGTGAACATGTTAGGGAATGGTTTGGACTAGGAAGGGTTGGTTGGGATGAGAGAAGGAGCGATGTAGATGTATGAGGGGAAAAGAAACGATGTAGGTGTATGAGGGAAAGGTTGGGATGAGAGAAGGAACGATGTAGATGTACGAGGGAAAGGTTGGGATGAGAGAAGGAAAGAAGTGATTTTTATCTGACATATCATGAAATAAAATGTTATAGTGCATTATAATTTGAAATCTAATTGGAAACGGCATATAGCTGTTTGAAAGTAATCTGATAGATTTAAACAGAATTATAAATTTGTCACAGATATAAGTGCCTGAAAAGTGAGTTCATTGATCAGGATTACACAGAGTTCAGGTTTACAGGGAGCAGTTATTCATTTTCTCTCTGTATCTTTATTGGTTATAGAAGCAAAAACACAAGCCGCCCCCACTTCCGGTGCCACAGTCCCCACTTACGGGGGGAGATGGGTCTTTTGCCTCTCCTGGCCCCGGAACTAACAGCCCTCGGCGTGGGGTCTCCTTCAAAAATAAGATGCAGGATGGAATGGAAAAGTAAGTGACTTCATTCTTGTGTCAATGTGCTATGTAACATAGCTTTTGATTGGTCAGTCAAGTAACTTACAACAGAGTAGAAATGATATACCAGTTACAATGTGGGGTCAAGTAAGTAACAACAGAGTAAAAATGATATACCAGTTACAATGGTCAGTCAAGTAACTTACAACAGAGTAGAAATGATATGCCAGTTACAATGGTCAGTCAAGGAAGTTACAACAGGGTAAAAATGACATACCAGTTACAATGGGCAGTCTAGTAAGTTACAACAGGGTAAAAAGGATATACCTGTTACAAGGGTCAGTCAAGTAAGTTACCACAGAGTAAAAATGATATCCCAGTTACAATGGTCAGCCAAGTAACTTACAACAGAGTAGAAATGATATACCAGTTATAATGGTCAGTCAAGTAGGTTGCAACAGGGAAATAATGATGTACCAGTTACAATGGTCAGTCAAGTAGGTTGCAACAGGGAAATAATGATATACCAGTTAGAATGGTCAGTCAAGTATGTTACAACAGGGAAATAATGATGTACCAGTTACAATGGTCAGTCAAGTAGGTTGCAACAGGGAAATAATGATATACCAGTTACAATGTGGGGTCAAGTAAGCAACAACAGAGTAAAAAAGATTACCAGGTACAATGGTCAGTCATGTAACTTACAACAGAGTAGAAAGGATATACCAGTTACAATGGGCAGTCTAGTAAGTTACAACAGAGTAAAAATGATGTTTTTGAACTGTGAAGCCTACTGTTATCTGTTTTAATCTGCTAGTAAAACTCAACTAGGTACAGTTTACTTAGGATATGTTCTTGCTTTGCAGTGTCAGTAAAACTCAACTAGGTACAGTTTACTTAGGATATGTTCTTGCTTTGCAGTGTCAGTAAAACTCAACTAGGTACAGTTTACTTAGGATATGTTCTTGCTTTGCAGTGTCAGTAAAACTCAACTAGGTACAGTTTACTTAGGATATGTTCTTGCTTTGCAGTGTCAGTAAAACTCAACTAGGTACAGTTTACTTAGGATATGTTCTTGCTTTGCAGTGTCAGTAAAACTCAACTAGGTACAGTTTACTTAGGATATGTTCTTGCTTTGCAGTGTCAGTAAAACTCAACTAGGTACAGTTTACTTAGGATATGTTCTTGCTTTGCAGTGTCAGTAAAACTCAACTAGGTACAGTTTACTTAGGATATGTTCTTGCTTTGCAGTGTCAGTAAAACTCAACTAGGTACAGTTTACTTAGGATATGTTCTTGCTTTGCAGTGTCAGTAAAACTCAACTAGGTACAGTTTACTTAGGATATGTTCTTGCTTTGCAGTGTCAGTAAAACTCAACTAGGTACAGTTTACTTAGGATATGTTCTTGCTTTGCAGTGTCAGTAAAACTCAACTAGGTACAGTTTACTTAGGATATGTTCTTGCTTTGCAGTGTCAGTAAAACTCAACTAGGTACAGTTTACTTAGGATATGTTCTTGCTTTTGCAGTGTCAGTAAAACTCAACTAGGTACAGTTTACTGATACTCAGGATATGCTGATGCTTTGCAGTGTTGGTAAAACGCAGTATGGGACAGTTAGGATTTTGGTAGCAAAAAGGGGGTCTGGTAAACAGAATTTATATCATTGATTAAAAGTACATGTGAAGAAAAAAAATAAACTTGGGTAAGTTGTTTCTTGCAAAAATTGTACTAGATCTACATCAGAAATGTTAGCTGAACGTGTGTGTGTATTTGTGATCACTAAGGGCAGATATATAATGTATTCCTTGTGCTGTAGAGTGCTACAGGAAGTGAACTTTGACAAGAGGTTTGAGGCCCTACCACAGTTTGTGCCGGAGAATACCAATATGGACTCGCCTGTCCCACAGAGTCCACGAGGCATCATCAGCTGTTACAAGAGGCGACGTAAAGTTTCCTCACTAGGTACAGACCAATCCTCTTTGTTCACACTAGGTACAGACCAATCCTCTTTGTTCACACTAGGTACAGATCAATCCTCTTTGTTTACACTAGGTACAGACCAATCCTCTTTGTTCACACTAGGTACAGACCAATCCTCTTTGTTCAATTGATCCTGTCTCATCTATCTACAATATTGTACTCTCCTAATTAGCATATCGTATATACACCTAGGTCTAATTAGCATATCATATATACACCTAGGTCTATTTAGCATATCATATATACACCTTGGTCTAATTAGCATATCATATATACCCCTAGGTCTAATTAGCATATCATATAAACACCTAGGTCTAATTAGCATATCATATATACACCTAGGTCTAATTTAAAATCACTCCAACACTTCATTTACATATACCTGTTCTCTCTTAATAAGCATGTAGTACACACATTCTGTTTATTACAATAAGACCGATTTAGATATAATGCTACATCCATACTTGTATATACATTGTATTACATTGTTGTGATTCCATCCTTGTAGTGTAATAGTTATCCCATATTCATGATCTATTACAAAGACTATCCTGATAAGCATCTTAGGCCCCACTTGAACCACCTTGTGATGTCAACCCTATTTAATATTTACACCGGAGGCATTTGAGTTGTAATTTTCAAATGTGAGGATATTCGTCAATTTAATTAGATGCAGTTGAATGATATCATCAGATTATACTATGAAAAATGAATCTCCCAACTGGCCTAGGATACTTGTACGATAGAGATGTGTGTCAAATTGTACTTATAACTGATCAAGGTAAAATATTTCATGAAGATAGAATTATTGGTCAATAAATGTCTCTATTTTAAGCTACGGGAGAGTCCACACCCAATGAGACTTTTGACCCTGTATCCCCTAGCTACAAGAAATTTTCCAGTGAGTCGGAGACGGGGACCCCACAGACGCCTCGGAGTGCCCGATTTGATGACAATATGTTCTTTGGTAGCAACTTCAGTTTAGAAACCTTGGCTGATGCTGCTGTGTCCTCCAAGCCAGGTAGGTCACAGATACATAGTCAGAGGTCACAGGTATATCTCAGTTTCAACCGTCCAGGTGTGGAAGTAAAATGCCATGTTTTTAAATATGAGACAAGTTGATAACAAATTCACCTGACTACAGAGAATTTAGGTGGAAAGGTGGAATTATACTAAATTTCTTTTGAAATACTTGTTTGATTTCCCAAATAGATTCCTTTCATGTATCTGTTAGTTGTCTTTTTACAAAAGTTTCTTTTTCATACAATAATATCTTTAGAAAAATTATTCTGAGAAATAATCTCCTACAGGCTGCTACACTATGTCCTCAACCTGTTAGTATTAGATTTCTGTGCAGACTTATAGTCCAAATCCTATTTCCCATAGGTACACTTAATGTCATATTTTATATCTACTTTAAGTCCTATTTGAATATCTGCGAGAAGTTTCACTGTTCCTGGGAACTGTATTAGATCCTGGGAACTGTATAAGATCCTGGGAACTGTATAAGATCCTGGGAACTGTATAAGATCTGTCAATATTACTACATTTAATATGTTTTAAACTCGTTAACATAAATATATTTTTCAGCGAAATAGTTTGAAACTGCAAAAGAAAGTACCTGAAAATTTAATGCAAAAGTTTCATGTTGTAATTATGAGGAATGGAAGTGCCAGGACTGTCGGATAAATCTTGATACTTGACAGATACATGTGTTTCAGCAGGACTGTCAGATAAAACTTGATACTTGACAGATACATGTGTTTCAGCAGAAGATTTCCTAGAGAGTGGGCTTAGTTCTCCCATGACCCCCAGAACTCCTAGCTCACCCGGACAATTCTCATCACTCCGAAGGATCCTTGACCAGCGTCGGCAACTTGTCATGCAGTTGTTTCAGGAACATGGACTGTTCCCATCAGGTGAGAAACAAGACTTCTCTCTGTAGATGTTACTTACAAACAATCAGTGGCTTCACTTAGTCGCACATGCCTTGACCTTGCTATAACAGGTTACGGTAGAAATGTGTAAGTATATGTAAGATAATTGAATAAGAATCGACTCGACTCAAAATATGACTTGATTACAAGTCATGTAATACAGATCTACGCTTTTCATTCTAGTCTTTGATCTTCATGTATTATCTTTTCAGCCCAAGCCACTGCCAATTACCAGGCAGAACACGCCTCTATTTTCCCGTCAAAGGTCTGTCTACAGCTGAAGATCCGCGAGGTGCGACAGAAAATGATGGCACAATCAGCAGCGGTGGAGAAAGCTGCGTCAGGAGATGCTTCTTCTGGAAGTATGCCATCCACTCCCATAGGTACATATCCACCCCCCGGTGACTCGGACAGCAGTACAGGAGGGATGGAATCGCACCCAGGGGAGGACACGTTCCCCTCGGGGCTCACAGAGGACGACAAGTGATTTATATATCAAAACGATCACACATAGGGGAGGACACGTTCCCCTCTGGGCTCACATAGGACGACAAGTGATTTATATATCAAAACGACAAGTGTGAAGAATGTGACTGTCAGAAGTTTGGGGGAGGATTCTCCTTTATCGATTGACAAGAGTGGGGAGGTCAGAAGCTTGGGGGAGGATTCTCCTTTAACGATTGACAAGAGTGGGGAAGTCAGAAGCGTGGGGGAGGATTCTCCTTTATCGATTGACAAGAGAGGGGAGGTCAGAGGCTTGGGGGAGGAGTCTCCTTTATCGATTGACAAGAGTGGGGAGGACAGAAGCTTGGGGGAGGATTCTCCTTTGTCGATTGACAAGAGTGGGGAGGTCAGAAGCTTGGGGGGGGATTCTCCTTTATCGATTGACAAGAGTGGGGAGGTCAGAAGAAGGGTCTTGCTATCAGATTAGATAGGTAGCCTTACTTTGCTGATTGAGAGAAAAAGATGTGCCATAAATGGCAGATTTGTTTTTATAGATGAAAATTTCACTTATCGCGAAATGATTAACTTCCAAGTTGTGGATGTGTAAGTGAAGTTTATGATAAGAATTAGAGGAATGTCAGTATTATTGATAGGCATAATGATATCAGTATCATTGATAGGCATAATGATATCAGGCATAATGATATCAGTATCATTGATAGGCATAATGATATCAGTATCATTGATAGGCATAATTTTAGATAATCCAATTATGTTTCTCTTGTTTTGAATCATTTATTTTTCTTCAAAATGATAATTTTTGATTTCAAAATGTTGTATCGGTTAACATCACTGAATACAAGCATCATGAACCAATACCCGTTATAGACCATAGGTTAGTTTTGAAATGCTACCTGTTACAGTCCATAGGTTAGTTTTGAACCAATACCTGTTATAGTCCATAGATTAGTTTTGAACCATTACCTGTTAGAGTTCATAGGTTAGTTTTGAAATATTTTTGTCCTGTTCCTTGATAGGAAGGTTAAAATTAGACTGCTATTTGCATTTACTTGTTATCATCACCAGTTAGTTATTATCACTTAGATACCATGTCAATATTGTATGACTTAAATAGTAATGTGCAAGAAGATCAGTATTACATTTTCTTCACACTCCAGAATATAAGATGAATACCAGTCGAGATAGTAATTGTTTTATTTGACATCACAATCAATACGTCACAGATAACTTTGTGAGAATTAAACAGTTTTAAAATGTTAATGTCAAAAAATTGAATCTAAAGATAATGCAATATTTAGTATCGGAAAATATTGAGTGAAAATTCTGGTCGAAGATTGATCATCCATTAGGGAGTTAGTGGCGACGTGGATATTGATGGATAGTGCTATCATGTTATAAATATTGAGAAAAGTCATCGTATTTTAATGTATATAGTGAGCAGTTAGTTTTACACATCTCAGCATGTACTGACAGACGGTCAGTTCTCCTATTTCGTCTTTTCGTATTGCAGAGTTATCTTCTCTTTTGAGCAGGTATTGATTGTTACGTCATTTGTTTGTGAGAGTAACGTCATAAATTTTTGAGAAAACGACGTAATTTTCTCACACAAACCAATGACATAACAATCGATACCTGCTCACAAGAACGATAACTCTGCAATACGAAAAGACGGAATATCAATACCCGTGTGGCAATCAGTGACATATATCATGTGATATCAATACCTGTGTGGCAATCAGTGACATAGCCTGGTGTGTAGCCATTCATTTTCATGTTGGACACATATATTCTTTGTATGAATTAATCATGAATGTATACATATATTGTTTTTCATGTTTGACATAATTATTCATGATTGTGTAGTAATTCAATTATTCATTATCAATGGTTATCTAGGCCTATTCATTATGGTTCATAAATGTGTGTATAACATGAATATTCATCAGTCAATAAGTTGTGTAAATATTCATGAGTTCTGAACAACAGGAGGCTGGTCCTTCTGGCTCATGGCAGATAAACAGTAATAGCTTTATTACACAGACAGGTTACATTGAATCCATTTCCTGTTGTTCGGTTTCCATCGCCTGGCTTTTGACGGAATAAGATTATTTGATTTTGTGGTGTTTTAAAAGGGCAACGAAGATTGCTAAATATGTATAGAAAACCTGTTAAAAACTTATCCACATATTTCTTAGTATCCTTTACATACCCACAGCCTTCTAGCACAGACTCAGAATTCTCAACAACAGGAAATGTATTTGATTTATCCTAATTAAGCTCTTCATTAAAAAAAAAAGTATGAACAATATTTGTAGGTTTGTATATGCTACGAGTTATAAGTTTTGTGCTATTTTACTTTATTGACATAAACAACTATTTTATAATGTCTATAAAACTGATTGATTTGCTTCGTCTGATCTGATTATAACTGCTGTATTACCTTGATCAGTAGCCCTTGCTTCATTGTCTGTTCTACACGTGGGCAGTTTGTAGAGACAGGTTTTGCTGGTATGGCCAGGTTGTTCCAATCCTTAGTTTTTCAAGCAATTACATTTAATTTCATTCAACTAACGGGACATTTTTTTCACCTATTTTACTGTCAGGATGTAGTTTGGTGTCCATACTCTTATATTTACATCTCTGTAATTAGGAATAGCATTTAAAAAAAGATATTTTTAACAATTTGTGTGATTTTATTGCTGCCGGTCAGTTGGTCAGAGAACAATGATGTTGTTTAAGATGTATTATAACACCAAAATAGCAGTCATCCTTTAGTTACATTTCTATTCAGATGTCTTGAAAAATTTCAAATTAATTATATATAATCAGTACATGTGATTCGCTTCCATTGTTGAACACTTTGGCCGGTTACACTGGAATGGGTCGTTTATTTATTGAAGAGGGACATACCTATGGTTTAATGCTGCCGGATCTTGACCAAAGACTTTCAAAGCCTAGATATTAATATTGGCAGGTTTTTCAGGCATTATGTCTGAAAATATTACATCTGAAATAGACAAACCAGTCTGCTGGTATAAATTTGAACGTTTTAAAAACAAGTTGAAAACTGACATGTAAACCTTGTCCTACCCAGGTTTGGAACAACTCGACGTTTACTATCCATTTCTTTGTGGTATCCACAGCAATTCTATCGTTCCCTTTCAGTTTACTGGACAATGATGTTGCCTATCATATATACATGTATGTGTAGAGTATGTAGTGGTCTATGTAGAACTTATATGTGATGGATTATAAATGGCATCATGTTTGACAGTAAATCTGTAAATATAAGACTGAAATGATCAGATTTGTTGTTGTGAACATTGAGTTGATGTGTTAACTATATGCAGCATTATACTTTTATTGTCACTTCATGTGTACAATCTGAAAATAAATGTCCCATTATCATTTTTTGTGTCAAAATGGAATTCAGAGATTAGTGAAAGTAGGATTGTGCTTTAAAAGTTATATTTTAACTTAATATTTCAAATTGTTTTGTGACTATTTACCAGACGCGTTTTTTACAAGAGTTATCAGATAATCAATTTGTCACTTTAGTAAATTCTCAACCTTGTGAAAAATCATGTTTGTCGAAAAAACAGAGTATATATGTAGAAAATTAATGAGTAGAACATAAAACAGTATTGCATTTCTGAAGTAAATTTTTTCTAATGTGTAATGAAATGTAAGGGTATGCAGAAATGCAAAAAAAAAATGTCCACAGTAGTTTAATAAAGAATGTTGTATGAACATTGATACTATATTAGTTAGCAGTAACAGTGTACACAGCTGCTCCATGTAAACTGATGATTTAGTATCCAATTGTGATACCTCTCCTCCAACATTGTGTAAATCTCCATCTTTGACCAAGACAAGTCTTAAGTTTAGATGGAGCCACTGTTAGTTACAGTAGCAGTTACATACAACAGGGGGGGGGGGGGAATTCAAAATTAAATGGGGATAGAGGTGTTAACCTTAAGGACGACCCATGTTGACCCCTTGACCCTGTGTCAGCCCCTTGAGCCTTAATTTGTTCCACAACTTTTGACCTTCCTTAACATCCCTGCTGACACATTGTTTTATGGTGGGCTCACATGTGACTGAAAACTCCCTATGATCCTGACTGACGGCTAGTATTTGTAAACTTATAAAACACATTAGATCTGACAGGCTGTGTCTGTTTAGGGGAGAGAGGTATTGTCGAATCATTCCATTTTGTCCTTGTTTTGATTTAATATATATTGTAAATAATAGTTTATTATCCGAGTCCTCACAACCTACCAATATTACTGTTATTGGTCGAATAGGGTCAATACTTGATGACGGCAGTGAATATTTTTTGTGTTTTGAAATTGAAACTGTTAATATATATAATATTATATATAATATTTTTCTTGTAAAACAAATCTGATGTCTGTCCTGTATCTCAAACTGACTGGATGATGAGTCAGTTTATATCTCTGATATTGTAGTCTCACTACTGTTTTTGGTCTCATCATAATGAAATCCAACAAATTGAAAAAGAAAAATAATTCATTTGATTTAAAAATTTGAGATGAGATTTTAGTCTTTAAAACTTTTTGATTAGATTTTTTGTGGGTGAAGTCTTTTTTAAACTACTAGTTGATCTAAACAGCTATTTGAGAAAAAAGGATTCTGTTTTAAATACTGATACATGCTGACTAGTACAAATATGTTGTACATTTTGTAGCTGTGAATAGCTATTACTTAAGATAATAACACTGTATAGATTGTTTAATTTGACATTTATTTCCCTAAGATAATAACACTGTATAGATTGTTTAATTTGACATTTATTTTGCCCAAGAGTTGGTTGTCTTGGACAGAGAGTGATGTATATTATACAGTAGTGCTAATGACTGTCCTATCCTTGTAAGTATACTGTAAGGGCGTTCTATCCTAGGTATGTACCTCCAGTACCACAGACATTGACACACAGACACTGACCTTAACTCTCTATTTTTATCATAATACTAAGAGTGGAGATACAGGCGTTTTCTCCGGCTCATAACATTTGGGGAGAGCCAAGAAAACAAGTTTCATCTCATTATCATAACGATACCACAGGTGTGCAAAGCAACTTTTTTTAACGAACTTGCACTAGCATGTTTTTTTTATTTCAGAAATTTATAGGAATGTTACAAACTTTTTTAGTGTATAATTTCTCATAAAAACTTGTACATGGATACTGTTCCGCGATACATAAAAACTTGTACATGGATACTGTTTCGCGATACATAAAAACTCGTACTTTGGATACTGTTCCACGACACATAAAAACTCGTACTTTGGATACTGTTCCACGATACATAAAAACTCGTACTTTGGATACTGTTCCGCGATACATAAAAACTTGTACTTTGGATACTGTTCCACGATACATAAAAACTTGTACATGGATACTGTTCCGCGATACATAAAAACTCGTACTTTGGATACTGTTCCGTGGTACATAAAAACCTGTACTTTGGATACTGTTCCACGATACATAAAAACTTGTTCATGGATACTGTTCCGTGGTACATAAAACCTCGTACTTTGGATACTGTTCCACGATACATAAAAACTTGTACATTGGATACTGTTCCACGATAAATAAAAACTCGTACTTTGGATACTGTTCCACGATACATAAAAACTCGTACATTGGATTCTGTTCCGTGGTACATAAAAACATGTACTTTGGATACTGTTCCACGATACATAAAAACTCGTACATTGGATACTGTTCCACGACACATAAAAACTCGTACTTTGGATACTGTTCCACGATACATAAAAACTTGTACTTTGGATACTGTTCCGCGATACATAAAAACTCGTACTTTTGATACTGTTCCACGATACATAAAAACTCGTACTTTGGATACTGTTCCGTGGTACATAAAAACTTGTACATGGATACTGTTCCACGATACATAAAAACTTATACATTGGATACTGTTCCACGATACATAAAAACTTGTACATTGGATACTGTTCCACGGTACATAAAAACTTGTACTTTGGATACTGTTCCACGATACATAAAAACTTGTACATTGGAAACTGTTCCACGATACATAAAAACTCGTACTTTGGATACTGTTCCGTGATACATAAAAACTTGTACATTGGATACTGTTCCACGACACTTAAAAACATGTACATTGGATACTGTTCCACGATACATAAAAACTCGTACTTTGGATACTGTTCCACGATGCATAAAAACTCGTACTTTGGATACTGTTCCGTGATACGTAAAAACTTGTACATTGGATACTGTTCCACGACACTTAAAAACATGTACATTGGATACTGTTCCACGATACATAAAAACTTATACATTGGATACTGTTCCACGATACATAAAAACTTGTACATTGGATACTGTTCCACGATACATAAAAACTTGTACATGGATACTGTTCCGTGGTACATAAAAACTTGTACATTGGATACTATTCCGTGGTACATAAAAACTTGTACTTTGGATACTGTTCCGCGGTACATAAAAACTCGTACATTGGATACTGTTCCGTGGTACATAAAAACTTGTA